AATGACAGTAATAAAAAAAGTGACACTGAAAAGTGACCATCACGTTTTAAAGTTAATTCTCTCTTTTTTTTTTTATTGAAAATTGATGTTTGTCACTAAAAAATGTAATAGAAATCAAGAAGGTGACTGAAAAAAGTGACAGCACTAAAAAATGTGACAAAAAATCAAAAAAAGTAATAGAAATTTTAAAAAAGTGGCGAATTCAAAAAAGTGACATAAATTAAAAGAAGTTACACAAATTAAAAAGTAACAGATAATAAAAAAAAGTTACAAACTCAAAAAAGCGACAAAATTAAAAAAAAGTGACAAAAATAGTATGATAGTAATTTTCTCGTTGACAAAATTCCCTCTATAATCAAATTCGTACAAGATAAGAAAATCATCCTGATATAAACCAATTTTCACTTTCAACACACTTCCAGACATTTATTTTGGCAAGTTCAGTGACTATTTAGGATATTAACCCACCGAAGGGCTAGTGATGATTTATATTTATAATTCTCATTCAATATACAATAATTCTATAATCAAATAGAGTGAACGAATTATTGGAACGCCTTTATTACTAAACCCACCATCCATCTCAATATATATNCGAATGGCTAATGATAATTTATATTTATAACTCTCATCCAATATACAACAATTCTACAATCAAATAGAGTGAACAAATTCTTGGAACTCCATTATTACTAAACCCACCATCCATCTCAATATATATCACTAGCAATTGCTTCATCCCTCTCGAAAACCAGAACACAACAAACCCACCACCAAGCAATCTTCATAACGTCAATCCAATAGTTTCATCATCATTCCCCACCTCGTTTACTTCTCTATGCACTTCACTTGGGTCACTAAATTGGACAAGAATTTCGATCGCATATGACAAAAAATTAAACTTCAGATCTGAAATTGTCAAAAAATTTGGGGAAAAAATTAAATTAAGACTAAAAATCATATGGATTAAAGAATTGTAACGACTTTCTTTTTTCCAAGTGAAACTGTGAGGTGTGCTATTTATACCTCCTTCCCAAATAGAGAATTCTATAAAATTCGTTGG